AGGATGTCTGTCAGTGTGTCTGCAGGCTGCTGATATGTGATCTGATGTTGGCGCTGGTCTCCATGAGAGAGAAAAAGAGAGAAAGGGAGATGAGACTTGACATCTTTTTGGACTCTGAACAGAACAGTTGGAATTAATTTTGGGGGGCAATGCTCAATCCTCTGAGGAAAACTGAAATGTTTTAATGGAGTATGGGCACACACAAAGGGAGATTAGAGTGATGACAGGGCAAGCAAAAAGATGAGAAATATTTTTATTGAAGTGAGCTCAGAGCAATTGAGAGTTATTGTTTTGGGCAGCGTTGAGGTGTTTTAATGGGAACTGAAAACAGAGAAGAAAAGAATAGCAAGAGAAGGAGAAATGCTGCCAAACCGAACTGCTCAAAGAGTGTTTGATCGCCTCTAAAGTCGAGCTTGCTGTTTGTTTGCCCTTCATGATAGGCTGGGGGTGTTCAGGTGTGTCCAATAAGGTGGAGCTGACAGTTGAGTTTCTGCCCAGGGATTGGCTGGAAGCCACTCAGGTTACAGGCTTTGTATTGATTCAAATATTTGAAACCTTTTCTCTTCAAAAGAGGGAGAGAAAGGCAGAAAGACAGAAAGACAGGGAGAGAGAGAAAAGAAGGTTGTCTAGTGCTCTCTGTGATTTTACCTGACATCAGTTTTCATTGGCTGCTCCGCTGTAAAACTTTAACTGTGCAGTAAAAAGTGTTGCGGGGTGAAAAAATGGCAGAGAAAGTTTTTTACAATGCCCTGTCGTATGGGCTTCCTGCCATTATAATGGCAGCCCTCCCCTGAGCTTGTAACATTTTAAGCCCTCAATTACTATTCTCTTTAGTCATGATAAATGTCAGGATGGAAATAACTTCTTCAGCTAAGCAAGGGCTAATGAAGGAAGGAATAGTTACAGGTTGAGTATTTTCCAAGTAAAAACTGGTGTTTTCTGATCCCTTTCACATAAAAAAATAAGGAACAAATGAAAATCTAGGATGTGGTGGTAAAAAGAATGAATGAATTGAAAGCAGTGGCCTATTATCGGGGAAGAATGCATAGCCTGGATTTTAGGGCTTTGGGAGGGCTGAAATTGTGTGTGAAAGGGGTAAAGTGTGTCTCTCTGGTAGGCTTGTCACCTCTCTAAAACCTGTCACAGTTACAAATGTCTTGTTTGTTTTCTGTTGTTTTACTGACCGTCCCTCTCGCTAACTGACTAAACACTGTTGTTGACATGACACGGTGGAGTTAGGCAGGGGGCCGGCCACCAGAGTTGTCTCTGTGCCACATGCACTTATATTTTCAGAAATATGGGTGATGTAGCATGTAGTTTGCTTGTTGTGGAAGGTTGGAAAGTTTGGAAGTTTTGAAAGTTAAAGGACTTTCAAAGAATTGTAGAATATCTTAAATAAGGTGTGTGTCTGTGTGTGTTGTCAGGAGCTGTGTGTGCTTGTCACTCACAGTGACAGCTGGACAGAGTGAATGTCAACGATTTAAGTTGACGAGCACAAACCACAGACAGAGACCCCTGTGTGTGTGTGTGTGAGAGAGATAGAACTATGTGGTCAGGGAGGCACACTGACAGTTGATAGACAAATTTATTAGCTTTTTGTGTGCGTACATGGTGTGTGGTCATTTGTCCTCATACACAAACACAAGTGTGTGGTTGGTGAGACTTGCTTCACAGGTCATTAAAAGCTCTTATCACCTCTGCAGCCCTCGCCACCTACAATGCTGGACTCTGAATGTGTGGCCTATTCACATATCTCCTTTTGCCTTTGTCAATAATTAACCAAGCCTACAACTCACTAAACACAAACGACTAAATTAACTGATTTTAACTAATGTGTTTGACACATAGATCCATATTTGTCAGTGCTGTAAAACTGTAAAAGTGCAATAACCAAATCATAATGTGCTATAAAACACTGCTGATCTTTACAAGGGCTATACAGTGAGTGTGTGCGCATGCTTGTAAATGTGTTCAATCAACAGTGCGGTTAATAGAGATAAGGGAGCATGTATAGTTAATAGACGATTTATCCGTGATGCTTCAAAAGTGTTGAGATTACACCGACGCTTTGATGCTCCCACCTCTTGTTTTTACTTGCAGGGTCATCTATTAAAACCTGTGTGTGTCTGTTTGTGCATGTGTGCTGGTGGGTGCCTATATGTGTGTGTGTGTGTGTGTGTGTGTGTGTGTGTGTGAGAGAGAGATAGCATACTTACACACATAGAATGTTTTTTTCCGTGGCGTCTGCCTGTGACACACCCTTTCCACGGTTCAGCCCATCCTCTTCGTGTGTGTGTGATCCCATGCTAGCAGCTGGTGGGCTCTATAAATAGTGTGGGTTGGTATGCCCCTAAAAAGAGAAAAGGAAACAAACAACTATCTTTTAAAAGTGTTCCATGGGTAAAATAAAAGTTATTTTATTAATTCTGGCCACAAGAAATGGAAGCGATATTGCCTTCCTCTAGCAGTGTTTAACAACTGACATGTCGCACTGCTCAAGTTATAATCGGTGCCACATGATTGCATAGCCATTGCAATCTCAATCGGATTTTCTCAGCACTGCCCCTGTCTTTTTCTGCCTCATAAATTCTGCTTCACATCTTTCCATGACTCTGTGATCATTTTTGGATTCAGCTCTTGCAGCGCTCCATGGTGTCATTGCTCTCCTGCCGCCCTCTTCCAATCAGACTGTGCCCGACAGTGCAAGTCCTTCCCGGTCTGAAAAGCTAATAGAGCACTGACTGTATTGGGAGTGCTAATCTGCTGTAGTTTATTCAGTCACGAAATAGCTGCACTCATGTCTAGAATACGTGCCGAAGCCCGATGTCTGTCATCGTGAGAAAGCCATACACTGAGCATTGCTTTCAGTGGTAGTTTGTGTGTGAATGAGAATAAATAAATGTCAGTGATTGGGCTGCACCGTTGTGTTCACTTAGGACGAGTGGTAACAGATTGTGTCAAGCCTACTTGGTTACATTCTCATTTGATGTGACTTTGTACGACTGGGGTAATTTGTTACTCCTCCACATTATGCAGTCCATGCAAGCAGGATGTGTGTATTCAGCTGATGGATCTCTGACGGCAAGTTGGGATAACAGTGTTTTCCGCGACCTACAGGGAGAGACAGGTGTGGAGTGCTCCAGAGGAATAAACACAGTAGCCGACAGATACGCACTCCGTTGAATGAGCACCGTCATTCCAGCTCGTTGCAGCATCGACACAGCACAGCTGCTGTTTAGTGTCACTGTCCTGCATAGTGACGTTTTAATGTGTGTCTGCATTTGTATGTGTGCTTTTTGTCACTCTGTTGCCACCCATGCACCGTGATTTATGTCCCATACAGCTATGAACCAGCAGCAGCAATCTTCCACTGCACTGAACTAATTGACCCTTATGTTGCTTCCCCATTGCGTGTTATTCGTCCTAGTGCAGTTGGAGTTGACCTCCAGTCTGGTTAGCAGTTAGCTTGAGACTAGCCCGATGAGCTGGCCTGTCCACACCCTGCTCTGATCGACGGTGCGACTGTGTGTGTGTGTGTGTGTGTGTGAGGAGACTTTAGGGTCCTGAGAAATGACCTCATATCCATCTGAGAGTGCACCTGTGGCTGAAACTCACCATGACTCTTTCACCCCTAAACACACACACACACACACACCCTTGGAAACACACATATGACACACTCATGTGCTCAGTATGGTGCAGCAAAGCTGTGCAATCCGACCCATCCCCGCTTCAACAGTATTATCCCCCCCTGTGAATTTCATCTGGCCTCACCACCTGTTGTCAGCTGTATTTCACCCAGCCCATGCCCTCTGCAGCCTATAGCCGTCTGTTTCCCTCCATAGGCACCAGAGCTTACAGTTGTGCCAGAAGTAGGTATGAGACCAGACCCGACCCTCCCCGGGGGCAGAAATCCTAGACTGATCTAATTACTCCCAGCCAGGGCTTGAATCACACCGAATCTACTCCGACTGGCAACCACTTAATTCAATCTACCGGCAAAAGTGTTACAAAGTAAACAAGTCAAGCTGTTAAACTGCAGTGTGGAGAGGGCAGAAGAGATAGGACTGGGTCCAACACGTATGGGTACCACCAGTATTGAGTTATATGGGCGGTCCCTGATGCTAACCACTAAATCTGAGTTTAGGGTGAGGTTTTCCGCTCCTTACTGCTCTGTTGGATTTTAGGTTGTTTTCCTGAAGTGACTTTGCCATGTTACATTAGCAAGAATAAATCTTTTACATTATCTTCATCTTTTCTTCCGATTTAACATGAATCAACTGTTGAAGATTACATTCATATTTTCATACAGTGAAACTTTCTATAACAATATTTAGACCACTTTGAGATACTTAAACTGTCCACTGAAGAATAGATAAGCTAATAATCGATATTTTATAAAAAAAAAAAAAAAAGAAGTAAGGTAGTAGTCCAGAAACATAAAGACAGAGCAGTTTGGCAGTAAATCAAGGGGCAGTCTCAGTGTAACATAATAGTCCGGAAATATATTCACACTATTACAGGAAATAAATCATCATGTTTGTATTGTAGTGCTGTTCTACAATTAATTATTATTTGTACAAGAGGAGGTTTCTGTTATCTTGAAATAATAACTAGATTTCAAAAGACATTTCTGAACTATTTGACGCCACTGTCGCCACCTTGTAAACTTTGGAAACACGCAGAGCTTTCAAGTGTGTGTTGTTGTTGGCTCACTGTGACCTTCCTCTGCTTTGTTGATACGCGCTGTATCACATAAAGTGCTCACCTTGCTGAAACCTGAACTCATGTCTAAAAACAAAAGGGCCTGGTTTGGGTCCTTTCATCTTTGTTGGCAATTTTGGACTTTTGTAGTCCTCTATCAGACTAGTTGAACCTGTCTGTGCTGTGTGACCGTGTTTTTGTTTGTCAAGTTTGATGATTTCTCTACCATGCCATTTGAAGCTTCCAATAAGTAAAAAGTGTTTAACAGTCAAATATTTTCCCTTTCTTTCATCCAGATGGTCTCCATGTCGTTGTGGCCCTCTGCACGCTGCGTGTCACCATCATCACTGATGACATGTTGACCAACAGCATCACGGTGCGTCTGGAGAACATGTCCCAGGAGCGCTTCCTCTCTCCCCTGCTCAGCCTCTTCCTTGAGGGCGTGGCAGCTGTGCTTTCCACCAAACGGGAAGCAGTATTCGTGTTCAACATCCAAAACGACACTGACGTGCAAGGCTCCATCCTCAACGTAACCTTTTCAGCGATGCAGCCTGGAGGCGCCGCAGGTAAAGGGACGTTCTTCCCTTCGGAGGAGCTGCAGGAGCAGATCTACCTCAACAGGACCCTGCTCAGGCTGATATCCTCTCAGGAGGTAACATATGTACACAGACACACAAATGCACACATACACTCCAAAAGCTAAACTCACATTTTAATGCACTTTTTTCTTCTCTCCAGGTGTTGCCATTTGATGACAACATCTGCCTGCGGGAGCCCTGTGAGAACTACATGAAATGTGTGTCGGTGCTGAAGTTCGACAGCTCCCCTCCCTTCATCGCCTCCGACACGGTTCTGTTTCGGCCCATCCACCCCATCAACGGGCTGCGCTGCCGTTGCCCGCTCGGTTTCACCGGGGTCTACTGCGAGACCGAGATCGACCTCTGCTACTCAGGACCCTGCAAGAACAACGGGAGATGCCGCAGCCGAGAGGGAGGGTACACTTGCGAGTGCCTGGAAGACTTCACGGGTGAGTTGTCAACGTGGAAACAAAATAAAAATTCAGTAAATCATTCCAATTTAACTTGATAAACAATTAACAACAACCCAATTATTGACTGGTTATGAGAGATCGTTTGGAGTTAAAATTATCTTCATCCTGCATATGGTCTTGGTGGCAACTGAAAATTATTACTTTTGACACCTCTTTATTATATTTATTTATACCTCTTAAGAACTTTTGATATACATATCTCACCATGTCTTGTTTTGCCTAAACTAAACTATACTGTGCTGATAATAGACTGAGTGTATTGAAGTAACCACAGGAGATATAGAGACATATTTGTCCAAAGAAAACGTTGAAAGTCTATTATAAGTATGTGCAAGGGCTCGTGTTCTTTCTGACAAAGGCTTTTAATGACTTTTACAAAACTGCAAAACCGCACTGACAGGTTGTAAAAGCTCTCACTACCTATTGTTGTAGCTTGAAGTTGACGCCGGTGAGTGCAGGGAGGGAGAACATGCTTTGTAATACTCTAGGTATAGCCACACACTAGGTATATAACACACACACACACACACACACACGTACATACAGTAGATTTATTGCTGTATAGAGGTGTATGGAATGCTGACTACACTGGTTAAACCAGATCCGTCTCAAATATCCCTTAACCCATTCACCAAAACCACATTAGCTTTTAATGACATTTTCGCTTTAAAACTTCCTCTTAATATTGTGGAATATGAACATTATATGGAGGCAATACAGTACAAAGTGGTAGCTCTGACACTTTAGTATAACATGTCATGAAAATGTGGCCCCCTATAGACCACATGGTTTCTGTGCTACTTGAAAGTAAGTGTCTCTCTATCATTGTTTATAGAGGAAAAAGTCATTGGAAAATAGGATTTTGGGATCAGTAAAGATTGTTGACAAGTAAGAGGGACACCTTTTTTATACCGGTGGTATCTTTCTTTTTTTAATATATAGAGTGAATATATAGTACGTTAGGTCACCAGAAACAGGATATGAAACAGAATAATACGCACACCAAATAGGTTCCATAGAAAAATATTTATTTTGCAAGTGGTATTACAAGCACAAGGCTCTTTCTCAGACTTTTGAGGAAACGTCTTGTGCTTGTGATTTCATCATGTTTATTGGCCAGGAACAGCACTACAAATGTTTCTCCCTGTCTGCCTGATGTGTTTTGATGAGCTGCCCCTGTGTTATTTGTATCTTGTGGCCTACTAGCATGCGCACAAGGATGCACGCATGTATGCGCACGAGCAGGCGGGTTACAAGATGTACATTCCTGCCCATGGTCTCTCCACAACCTTTAACCTAACCCTAACCCCTAACCCTTTACACTGATTTAGAGAAAAGGACAAAGAAGCCCTAAACTCTGGCTGGAAGCTGGCAGTTACAGTAACTCTGCACAGTGTTCACATGGTAGATGAACTATGGGAAGCCTCGGAAGCTTTCAGCATTCCCATTGAAATCACTTTCTGAAATATTTCCCGATGTCACTGATCTTCCTCCCATACTTCCCCTTGTACATCTGATACCTGACTGACTGCCTCTCCCTAATAGAGCCTTGAGGGCCTCTGACAGCCGTCATCCCTCCTCTCCCTCTGTCTCTCCCAACACTCTACCTCTCCTCTCCTTCTCTTCCTCTATCTTATCTGATGTAATTACCTGATTATACCTGTCTTTGTCACTCACTGGCCCTGCCTCGCCTTCTCCTCCTGCTCTCCATGTCCATCTTCCACACTCACCCATCATATTTCCCTTACCTGCCTCCCTGTGTCCCCCCTTTGAAGGTCACAGTTCAACTCAAGATAGTCAGGGCCCATCAGGGGCCATTATGGGGCTGATGACAGGGGGCCCGCTCTGTCCTCCTTGGGTTTCCTGCATTACAGGGAAACAGATCCTTATAATTCACCCTCGGAAAAAAGGATTATGCTGAGGAGAGAAGGGCCATTAGCTGGTTCCAGGCTGTGGTGTTGGGGGTCTGTGTGCGTCCTGGGTCGAGAGATCTTGTCTGGACATCAGTTTGACACACAACACTGCATGAGACACAGAAGCACCTATCACAAATAATATTGCAGTCAGAAAGAGGTCTGTTGTGTGTATTAGTGGAGGAATTTATATGAGCCAAGCCAGAAAGCTGGGCCCAACTCACTGATTTTGGACAAAGCTAGAGCCACATGGTAATTTAGCAGGAATTTCCCATGGTGAGACCCACTGCAGTAAGCAACTGAATTAGATAATGTAATATAATAGATTTGATATCAACATGCAGCCTCCAAGTTATGGCAACTCCCAGCCCAAGTAGCAGCGGGAACCACAAGACCTCGTAGACAATGAGCCGATCCAAAGTCTCCCTGCTAGTTGGGTTAACCTGGTTAGTTCGGTTGGTCTCATGGAGGATTTGACCATACCTGGGCCAACTCACAATGCGCATTCACACATCCAATATCAGTTAAAATCACGATATTTGCACGTGAGTAAATGTGCTTCTGGTAAACCCTGGTAAATGTTGGATGTGGTTAGTTAAAGTAGACGTAGAAGTGGTTTAGGGAAAAGTGGGAGCATAAAAAGGCAATTCCAACACTTAATCTGAAATAATTGTTGGAATGTGATGTGTTCATTCAAGAGTGATATATTATCATAGAACCCAAGTTAGAGTGACGCTAAGAAGGATTTGTCTGGTCTTTATATGGTTTAAAAGTATCAGCATGAGTTCAGCCACGGATTTGACTTAATAGAGGAATGTCTCATCCCTGTCTTCAACGTCTCCTCTCTTCCTTTCTTCCACCCTCTCTCCATCAAGTTTTTTCCCCCCTTGTCACTCCCTTTCCATGCTCCCTACTCCTTTTTATCTCCCATCCTCTCTCTTCTCTCCAAATATGGCCAAATTACATTGTGGCTAAGACCTGCGCTTCCCAGAAAGGGGCTATAAACAGGGCTTTGTTGTTATTGCTAACATTCAGACAGAGAGAGGGTTTTTCTTAACCTGGGGTTTTAAGAGGGCCCTTAACAACGTAATGTTATCGCTGTTGTATAAGCCTGCTTGACTTATAATCAAAGGCCTTGTTAAAACAACTGGATTCCAAACAGATGACACGTCTGATAAGTCAGTCAACGATGGACAACATGCTTCACAGAAAAGATAAAATAAAAATAAATTGGTGAGATCATGCGCTGACAGGTAATTTATCATTCACATTGCATTGCACTGCTATTGCAATACACACCTCGTATCTACAGACAACAGCGTCGACAGAAGATGTCACCTTTTCAAACCAAGGTAGCAGTAAAGTTGTCAACCCCAGCAAAGACTGAAATTAAAACTAATAAACAAACAAAACAATCAACATGGGTCATACAACAGATGCAAACCATCTCAGACGCTCTGTTGAACTGAACTGCCCTCCATTCTCTCATAGGCGAGCACTGCGAGCTGAATGCATCGTCAGGCCGGTGCGTACCCGGTGTGTGTAAGAACGGCGGCAAGTGTGTCAACCGGCTCGCGGGTGGTTTCATGTGCCAGTGTCCACCAGGAGAGTACGAGAAGCCCTACTGCGAGATGACCACCCGCAGCTTCCCCGGACAGTCCTTCATCACCTTCAGAGGCCTGAGGCAAAGGTTCCACTTCACCGTCTCCTTCACGTGAGTTTCTGTACTTCCTTCCTCTGCCATTCATTCCTTTTCAAATAAAATGTAATTCAATTCAAGAAAAAGGGTGACCGTTTGCTAAGCCTCAGCCCCCGTAATGACTGTTCACACACAGCACATTTTTTAAAATGATAATGGTGGCAGGTTTAATGCACAAAATTCATTCAAAATTAGCTGGAAATGCTAACAATTGGAGCTCACATTAGAGCAGATAATGTGACTATTTAATCAATTACATGTTGTGTTTTTGGAGAAAAAACAAACAAAAATGACATAACTCTTTAAATGCTAAACTATACTAAACTAATTATTTATTATTAATTATTTAAAATTAAAAAAAGCCTGAGAATATATTACTTGTACAGAGTTCATGCTATATGCCACCAAATTCAAATAATAGTTTTCAATAGTTTTCTTAAGCAGACTTTAGATTTACAAAATCTTGGCCGTTAAGCGCTCCAATTAATATTCTTTTTGTTTTCTTACGCCCACCTGGGATTGCTGCACCAGCTTTTAACCGCACAGTAACTGCTGTACATGAGGTGTGATACTTGTAGCCGTGTATCAGCGGTAATTTAGGGAGTGAGAGGAGGTGCACAAATAAACACAGTTGAATTCAGCAAGTGTGTCAACTGGGGCGTGCTGAGACATGTGCACACTTTTCCATTGTGTCTCTGTTCCCTTCTCTCAATACACACATGCACACACACACACACACACACGCTCCATCTGAATGTGCAACTTTATGACTTTGTTTGTGCTTGTGAAACTGTTGGAGGAAAAATCACCCTGGTTCAGCAAGTTCAGCAAGCAAGCGCACTGTAAATATTATGTAGAGAAAAACTTTTATCGCGTTTCATTACCAGTAACAGGTAAGATGAGTTTGATAATGCGAGTTCGTAGACGCCATGACGGTGAGAAAGGTTGAAAACAGGAAAGGCTGTGCGATGGGTTTCCCTTATCAGTGTTTGGCTACAGCCATCCTGACTTCCTGCCCCGCTGCCCTCACTGGCATCTGCCGGCTGACTCCTCTGCCCTCACCTTACACTCCTAACACACACAAACAGCTACATGTTGAACTTTGTACCCACGTGCAGGTAGTGGCTCATTCACCAGGTCTTTGTCCCTCTCTCACACGTGGATACGCTCATGCATCATCCCAAGGCAGAGGACCCGTTTCCTCTCTGCGGCCCACCGGCTTCACACTTCCTGCCTTTCCTTTCCAAGTGACTTTTCCTCAAGAGCTCCTTGGTCCTTTCATCATAAAGCTATCTGCAAGGCCTTCAACCGCTCAGCCCCGGTCTGTTTGAGTTGGAGAGGTGCTTAGAAATGTAACAGGAAACGAGCTAAAGTGGAGAAAAACAGTTTAAATCCGCTCAACCCTTACTGCCAGACAAATGTTTTTTTTAAGCCTCATTTTGAACCTCTGCATTGCATAAATTAAAGCAAAGCTATTTTCTGGCTGCCGCATACTGTATCTTCATTTTTGGGTTGATTTTATCACCGTAGAATCTAAAAGATCTGTCTCCTGTAGGTTCGCCACCAGAGAGAGAAACTCTCTGCTTCTCTACAACGGCAGATTCAATGAAAAACACGACTTCATCGCTGTGGAGATCATCGACGAGCAGATTCAGCTCACCTTCTCTGGAGGTTAGGCCCCATAATGTGTGTGTGTGTGTGTGTGTGTGTGTGTGCTGACCACTTAAAGTAATTGTTGTTAATATCAGCTGAATTGCAGGTAGATTAACACAGGGGTAAGTGCACTTTATCTAAAGTGACTTTCACTAAGAGCCTGTGAAATAACTCTTATCAGCATGCGCTTTCTTTTGAAAAGAGTGTTTGTTTTTGTGTATGTGTGTATTAGAGCATGCATGTATCCAAAATGTACCAAATTTGAACATGTTCATTTGTGTGTGTGTTTCTGTGTGTGTAGGTGAGATAGATGGGTGTGTTTTACTGTTTTGAAAGCAGCTGCTTCCTCACAAAGGGAGCTGCCAGACTGATTGATAATGGCTCAGACATTTAACTTGCCAAAAAACACATACTTAACACACACAAACACACAGGCTAAAGCCCATGAGCAGTGGATCACTCAAAACTAGACTTCTTCACCAACAATGTTTTTAAGGCATATGTGCACACATAAATACTTATGCATACTCACGCACATACAGTTTCATGTGCAATCACACACACACCCACAATCATTGTTAAAACTGTTGGATTGCAGATCAAACACATATTTCTTTGGAGTGGTGACTGTTTTTTTCAGAGTTGGGCTACTTTCCCATGGTACCATACAGGGAGGAATCCAGTTCAATATGATTATGTTGGGTGAAGCCTGTTTGGCAGCCAAGCCAAGTCCTTGTGCCCAACTTCAAATCTGAAATGTGACTAAATGTTGAATGCATGACTCATCAAATTAAATACTCAGAATTATGACTCATGGGTAATGAAGAGGGGTGGGAGGAAAGTCTTTGATTTGTTTGCAGTGTTTCTCTGTCAGTGCTTTCCTATCTTTATGCAGTGTAGTAAATACATGGGCGAAGTAGGACATACAATCACGTACTTTCTGTCTCTCACGTGCACAACCAGAAAGCTGAGACATCACTTATAAACTCTCTCTACACTCACACACAAAGACGCACACACTTAACTCGTCAGCGTTGCTGTACTGTTTACTGATTTCCAGAGCAGTGGATTTCTGCCCAGGCTGCTCCTGCCCTTGACAAACAGAGTAAACCCCCAGTAAATCCAGTGCCATTGTGCTCTACAATCATCTCACTGAGAGCCATTGATACTACGGACTAATACTGGCTTTCCCAACAGTTGATTTATGATCATAGTGTGTGCGTATGGGTTTATGTATGTCAAGTAAGGCCACAGAGTTTGCATTGAATGGTAATTTATCAATCACCTGGAATATGTTGAGTGAGAAAGACATTTCATTGATGATTTCCTCCTCTCATTCAGTTGCGTTAAAGCAATATCTGCAATAGTTGTATCTTTATAGTAAAGTGAATGAATGATTCATTAACGTGTTTGTTTGTAGTCCCGTTCCACTTACAGAAAAAGTTACGTATTTAAATGACTAATGTCAAGATCCTAGGCTGAAACTGTGCAGTAGAGGTAAACAGCAGCTGCGCTTAATCATTTAAATCACATTATGGTCATAATTCACTTTTGCTGTTTGCCTCTCTTTCATCCGTCCATCATTCCTTTCCTTTCCACTGTCCCGGTTATCACTCCCCCAATGTCCAATCTCCCGTCATTCACTCTTTCTCCCCTTCTTCCCTCTTTCCCTCGTGTTCCAGGTGAGACAAAGACCACAGTGTCCCCCTACATCCCAGGCGGGGTCAGTGACGGCCAGTGGCACTCTGTCCAGCTCCATTACTACAACAAGGTAAGGAACTTAAGCACACAACCGACCGCTGCGCCGCCTCCGCCAGTAGACTTTTTAAAATGTCCTTGTCCTGGCTTTTGAAAACGAGATTTTTTTTAGAGTTTATGACATAGAAAAATCAAGTTGAATATTCCATCAGGAGCGTATTTAGCCAGTATTGAGAGTTAATAAGTTCAGGAGTTTTATTGTGGGAGTAAAGTATATGAAATGTGAATTTCTTTGAGGCTACTAAGGCAGTTGACCTTGACTGCAGATTCGGCAGATTATCTTAACAGTGCAAGTTTGTTTTGTGACGTAAACTCTGACACGGTGCTCGCCCCTCTGCCTTAGCCTTTGACACTGAATTATGGTATAGCTTTCTTGCATGAAGTGCAGGGGCCTGGCTTTAGCTTCAAGGGTCAAAAGTTCAACAACTGTATTTTCCCACTAGACAGCTTAAGTATATAGCTGCTTTTCAATGGTGGATTGTCTTTATATGTACCCTGTGGATACTTTCATAATGGTACAATCTCCCCTGAATCCCAATCACTGACAAAAAGGATTTATTTATTTAACCATTTTTCAAGACGTTCCCACGATGGTCGACTTGCCTCTTTACTAAGTCCAATCTCAGAAAAGAGACAGCAATTATTTCACCACCTAGCTCATGTATCCACTTCAGTTGTTATATTATATTAGAAGGGCTTACATTGCAGGTGTTCATTTTCAACAAACTTCCAGAGCCTGCAGCCATTGTTCTTATAACATTAAACCAGACAGGAAATAAGATAACACTGGCCCACTAAACATGTACATCCTATAGTTTGTGTCAGCCAATTAACTGTACGGTTTAAGAGCTCTCAAATAAACCTTTAAATCTGGTCAGTGGTCTACTGTTATAGAAATGGCAATGTTATGTATGACAACCGTGTGAATTAAAGTATGGCATTGCTAGAAGGACAATTATCTGTCTCTTACCTGGCTAAAGAGCAATCTTACCCATTTAAAGTTAAAACAGTGGTGGATATGCCTTCTTCCCTAAGTGAAGCCAATTAATTCAAGCCTTGTTGACACGAGAAACACCATGTGCTAGCCTTATTTCATAACCTTTCAAAGCTAATAGGTATGCATGTGTACGCTATGTTCTGACAAAAGACATCTCTCTATTCATTCCCTTTTTTCACCCCCCATCTCTTTCCTTTTCTTTCTGGCTCTTCATTCATGTCTGTGACACTGAAAGCTGTAGCATCACTGGCCTGACCCAAGACTTCCAGCATCATATTTCAGCAGCACTTGTGTTTTGCAACTTGTTAAGAGAGTAACCTGCTTCTTAGGCTAACGCTCGCCTACAGTGCACGCCTTCTCACATTTCACAGGTTGTTCGCCTCTTTCTTGTGTCTACCAGCTACTGTATAGGGCCCATAGCATATTTGGTAGCCTTGACAGGAAAGTATTCATCAGAGGTGATGAATCAGCCTACCATAGTGTACCTTGTTGGCTGCAGGGTCACATCTGTATCTATTGTTTGAGGTGTGTTTAGGCTGCATGTCTGCCTGTTCAACGGCACTGCCTTTATGACGCTAGAGACAATAGCTTGAACCTTGTAGTGCTTTGTTAAAATCGCTGCAAGGCTCCTGACTACCACTAGGGTTATTTGCAGAGCACAGTTAGTTGGCACTGAAGACTTCTTTGTTATGTTTGTCTGTTGGGTCGTCTAGTGTTTGTAGGGATGTCTCCATGGAAACAAGAGATTTAATTTCCATGCTTGAACAGATTTCCTGCTTTGTTTCCATTCTGTACCGTTTACCTTTTCTTCTCTATTTATCTTTACTGATCCTATAGGCTTCATCTTTGCTGCTGTGACATGCAGATACATCTGCTCTTCTAGTACACGCATAAAGACACACATGTATTACGTCAGTATTATGAGTGTATGCAAGTGTTATTAGCGTGTAAAGCAGGGGATGTGCGCGTTCCACCAGCGTCAGCCTTAATACAGAACAGTGATTTGCAAAGCAGGTGACACATTCCGTTGAATTAGCCAGAGGCCAACTGTAGTGCTGACACAGGGTCAGCTTTTCTTCATGTGTTGAATGATCAGAAGTCGGATTGACTGATGGTAATTTAATCCTACATCAGTTGCTTGAGGGATTAGTGGAAATGTATATGGCAGAGAGCAGTAATGTTCTCACAATAGATTAGACGTGTTGACATGTGAATGTACGGACGTGAATGTGGGCCGTGCATGAGGGAAAGAACCCTCACTTTCAGATTTACACACACATTAGTCTGAAGGTGGCATTGCTTGCATTGCTCAGAGAGACTAGAGGAAAGATCAGAGCCCAATTCTCCAACTGTGATGTAATCCAGATTCATGTCAGGCAAACACGCACGCACACACACAAACACTCGCACATAAATCATATTCCCTCTCTGTCCATAAGTTATCTCTTTGGTAGCTTTTGGGGGATTTTAGTGCTCATAAATGGAGAGATTTTGTTCAAGATGGCTTCTGGTGATTGATATAGAGATCAGTAACCAGTTGCACATGCTAAGTTCAAACATGAAATAGTTAGAAGTGTTTAATAAGTGGAGATTTAGGCATCATTAAATTAAGACGTTTTTCCTCACACAATACTTAATATTATTGTTTAGTTTGAGGAGTTTAAAAAGCATTAAAAATTCTTTGTAAAACAAACGAAAACTAGTTAGATTTTAAATTCTACCTCATAAAAATACCACAGTGTTCCTCAAACAACAAGCCATGCCATTAAACATTAGCCTAAATCAAATTTAGCTATAAGCTTTATCTCTAAATTAAAACGGGTTTCACCATACAACTAGTTCTTACATAAAAATTAGTTTGTTGATAAATATTTACATTATATTTCAATATTTGCTAGGTGTAAATGGTGCATAACTAACTGAACTCGTTAATGGACAAAGTTTACATTAGCTTGCTAATATATGACAGTTTCAGACTGAAGAGTAAATAAGGTTATATAGGATCAGGGTCGATACATCTCATCTGACACTTATCAAAAGGCTGTTTAGTAATTATGTCAACTAGTAAGATTTTAATTGCATTTCACAAAAATAACACAATATACCTTTTAATTACAGAAAGCCAGTAAAACTGTAGATTCACAAATGTTGGTTCTCTTCCCACAGGAGCCCCAGTTGGCTTGTAACGGTCCTAACGACGCACTCACACAATACACACATGCACACACAGACGGTGATTTACTGGGTCAGATGATGAGGCGGTTGAAGTTGTGCAGGGTTGTACGGGTGCCCCCTTTTTAAAGCCGCTGCTGCTCTCAGAACCAGCTTCTGCTTAAAAACAGAGGTCAAAGGTCGGGGGAGGGTTGGCATGACAACAGACATGGACTTGCCATTGTTGCAATGATCTGGGTCGGTTGGAAAGCTGTGTGTGCGTGTGTTTGCATCAGCGGGGGGCCGACAAATAGACAGCTTTTTTGAGTGAGTGTATGAGTGTGTGTGTGTGTGTGTGTGTGTTTTTGAATGTGTGCATATGTCCGTACTGCTATTGGAGATGTTACACAATAGAAGTGGAAGGATAAAGACATGTTTGAAATTCCGCCGTGTGGCGTCTCAAGGACAGTTGACAGTGTCAGCAAGGCACACCTAAACAGGAAACACACACACAAACACACACACACACACACACACACACACAACATGCACAAACCTGATAACACAGCGCATTGATGGGTATTCATTGGAGCAGCAGGAGTTTGTCTTGGGTTTTGATTGTATGCTACTACCAGGAAACTGACGTCCTTGGTGCAGGAAATGATGTTTATTTAGCTGGACACGTGGGCAGGAATGTCAGTTGTCATTCATGATTGTATCATGCCAGGCCACTGCAATGGATTACATCAGGGAATACAATATAAATGCCAAATAGGAAAAGAATGCTTGGATTTGTTTTATTTTACATTAACTCACAACCCATAGTCTCACCATAATAGGTCCATTTAAAAAAGTATTAAATTTAAATAATAGATGGTTTTTGCTGTGAAAGACAGATCTAAATGAAACTTTAAATAGTTTATTCTTGAACACAAGAAGTAGTGATTTTACAGAAAAAACCCTCAACTACAGTGTAGTAGCTTTTTAAATAGCATTTCAAATCAACGACAAACTTCCTCCATTGATAAAAGATTGTGAGGTTCAGTTAAAAGCTTGGGGAAAAGTAAGGTGGACTTTTTAATTATTTAGGAGTAAGTGGTAAAAAATTAGTAGTTAATTTTTCAAGCATTTAGCAATACAATTGTAAATCCACATTTACACAACAGTGGATTATATTAGTCTGCCGTTGCATGTAAACACTCCTGATATAATATT